TTACATGTTTTGTGTTCCTGACAGTCAGGAGTCACTCTTTGTGACATTACCGTACTCACGGGCGTCAAGACGTGCTTGTACGCATGCGTTAGTCTTTTAAAATGCTTAAAATTATTCTTTTAAAAAAACTAATTACAGCATATGTTAGCATATTATGAAACTTTTCAATCAGCACCGCGCGCGCTTCCTGAGGGTCAAAGTACGGCGGATCACCGAATTCGTCCTCAGTGACGAGTTCAAATCTAGTTTCCTTTAATTTTGGTAATTCGTCGAACCGTACAACCACAGTGCCCCGTACTACACTGCCAGCAGGCTATCAACTCCCTACGCTGCCTTAGACTACTCTAGCCTAACTAGCCTATATAGGCCTAGTAGACTACTACTACTACTACTACTACCAGGCCTAATAGTAGTGTACTACTACTGGGATATTATTTTGTACAAAAAAATGCATTAATATATTATGTTGCGTAGGCCCCCTATTATGTATCATGAGTCCAAGAATTTTCCAGCTATCATTCATTAAAATAGATAAAGTAAATTCAAATAATAAAGACGCAACTTACTGTTTTAATAAACTTTTACAGAACAATGGACAAAGCCGAGCCGACCGACAGAGACAGGGAATTCCAATAAAAATACCATAAAGGAATAATCCATTGCATAATAGGGTTTCATTAAGACAATGGGGAGGCAGAAAGGAAGCAGGCTGGTTGCCCCTGGACATATTCCTCCCTGACATATTCCCCCGGACATATTCCCCCGGACATTTTTCCCCCGGACATTTTTCCCCCGGACATTTTTCCCCCGGACATTTTTCCCCCGGACATTTTTCCCCCGGACATTTTTCCCCCGGACATTTTTCCCCCGGACATTTTTCCCCCGGACATTTTTCCCCCGGACATTTTTCCCCCCCGGACATTCCCTCGGACTTTTTCACCCTAGGACTATTGCTCCCCGGACTTCACTCAACTTACATCATGCGTTAAATAAAACAAGAATTTAAATACAAAGAATATGCCCTACATCAAGATTTATCATTTATAATAAATCTTTATTAAATCAATTGCATAATTAACAACAATATTTACATGTTAAATATTTACACAGTAGGCAGCAAAATATCTAATTAATATAAGAAATGATAATTAACGTACAAAGTAAAAACTTACATAGCCCTAATTTTTACATGTTTAAAAAAAAAATAATTTTGATTATCTATTTCAACTTATTTAATAATGCTATCCATATAGAATAAACAAAGTTATTACATATGCTCTTTATAATTATTAATTTTTTATCATTTTATTAAAGTTTATTAAATTATTATTATTATTATTATTATTATTAGGCTATTATTATTATTATTATTATTATCATTATTATCATTACATTATGATAAAACGCTATTAAAGACATTGATTATAATAATAAGGCCTATGTAAACATAAGAAACGATATGAATTACATAATACAGTAAGCCATTAAGCTTACAATTAATATTACACATTTAATAAGAACATAAAGAACACTGAAGCTGAAATTGCTTTAAAAATTAAGAACAAATTGAGGCTGAGGTAAAATGTCAAATGAGGTTTTTATTTTTTTTTTTTTAATAGAAAAACCAACAAATCTTATCCATATTTACAGTAGGTGTGACCACGGTGGAATAAAGTGAATAATTATGTAATACCATGGAGGAATAAGTTTTATGGTAATACCCTATAAATAATAATACAGTAATACCGATTTTGTATATTCCAAAAATGTGTAAAAATATGAATGAAATAAGAATGTTTAAGACTGAAATCGGCACAAAATAAGAACACTGAGCCTGGGGAAAAATTAATCTAATTAGTCTTGCTATCTTATTGCACTAAAGTATTATAGGAACAACTAGGCTACTTCCTTCAAAATTAAGTAAAATAAACAATTCAAATGTATCATAAATTAAAATATATAATTGAATTTATATTAGATGTAAAAGGGGAAACAGTCCGGAGGAAAATGTTCGGGCTGTCTCTTATACACATCTAGATGTGTATAAGAGACAGGGGCTGAAGTGTCCGGGGTGGGGGTGTCTGGGGGGAAACTAACCTAGAAACAGGGAGAACTATGAAACTTTAATAGTCCTGCTCAATGTAACAAATATCAGTTATTTCTTCGTTGCATAGGCCTATTATAAATTAATCACTTATTATTAATTAATCACTTAATAAGTCAGTACGTGACGAATAAGGAATGTCTATCTATCACAACGATTCAGCATAACCGAAAAACCTCGAGTAGAAGCCCAATGGGCTTAATCTCGAGAAGAAACCCATCTCGAATTAAAGCCCCCACCTCCCCCGACCCCTTCTCCCCACACACACTCTTTAATTTGCAAAAAGTAACCAAGAAATATCAAGATAGCATGGTCTTCTTTTCGAGATAGTACAGTACATAGGCCTACATGAATTTCAAAGAAACAAAATAAACTTAAAACACGCATGGTTTGTAGTTTGGTGATTCAATGCCGGTGAATACAGACTGATGTTACAATGGCCCTATTTATTGTTTTTTTATATTTACAACATCCATTTTGAAAAGAAGTCCCTCTTTACTTTGCAAAATTAGATTCAGATTCATATTTATTCACACAATGCATAAAGGTGGTAACAAGACAAAAATAATAAAGATGCGAGCAAAATCGAATGCAATGGTGTCTGGAGAAGTCAAATAAGCCCAAATGGCCTTACGGCTGGCTCCACCAGAGAAAAATGAAAAGTAATTTGTTCCATAATCAAAGACAAGACAAAACACGACGGAATGAACACAAGGGAACAACGACAAAAGGAAAAACGACAATGCTTTAAAAAAAAAAAAAAAAAAGATGTTTAAAGTGTTGGAGTTGGTGAAAGAGTGGTTTGGAGTGTGATTGGTAATTGGATGGAGTGCAGATGCGGATGGCCTTTTTGGAGTTTGAACAGATTGTTTAGTTTGGATGTTTCGGTGCTAGACCATGGACAGTAAGTTTTGAATTTTGCGTCCGTAACTGCCCAGGCGATATTGCAGTAGTGTAGATGTGGTAAAATAAGGGTATTGTATAAAGAGAAGAGAATGTTGGATGGTAGTGTCAATTTAAGTTTTCTTAGTAAGCCGACTGTTTTAGAGATTTTATTAGAAATGTTTGTTTCGTATACAGGTCATTCCATTCATAGAAAAAAAACCTTTATTGGAGAAAGCGTACCTGTCGTTAGCCATAGTAGCCTAGGTCAATACTAACTCCGGCTATATAAAATTGAATATAAAATTCAAAAATAATAATCTTATTATTGTAGTAGTGATACTATGTACACGTTTTAATTATTGTTATTTGTTCGTTAACGTCATTATATTTACATTTAAATTTAATGTATTGTTTAAGTATGAATTACTATGTCCATGTTAAAATAATCTTATCTATTAAAATTGTATATTTAAATAATATAGTAATAGGCAAGCCGAGGTATAGCCTAGTCTAGGCCTAAACAAGTGACTATATGTGAGTGTATAAAATTATGAAAAATATTATTAAAACGCAAAATTGTGAAAGAATAAAGGAAGAATAGGAAAGAGATTTGGAGCCGCTGAAATATCTTCCGAAAATATAACAATTTACAATGAAATACAATAATATTCACTCACACCTTTGAACTTGAACAAATTAAATATAGGCCTATTCATTGGTAAGTCACAGGTAACTCAACTTTCCTTACTACAGCTTTCGGGCTATCTTTGAATTTTGAATTTCGTCTCCTCGATATTATCTTGGAACAGGGACGTATTCAGGGGGGGGGGGAGCCGTGGGAGCCGCGGCCCCCCCCCCCCTTTGTACACAGTGTTAAAATTTTAAATCTTATTCTTGAGCCAATACAAGTTCTTTCCTGGGATCACACAAAATGAATACTTCTAACATGTAAATATGCATCAGTACACGTTATATATAGGCCTAATAGAACACATAGGCCTAAGCGCGATTTAAACAAATCTTAAATCCATACATCTCAGGCCAGGTCTTTTAAGATAGAAATGCGATACTGTGGTTCAA